TGCGCTATCCAAAATGAGAGACTTGGTAGCCCCAGTGTCACACAAAATCACAATTAGCACACGATCCTCCGCAGACAACAGAGTATATTCACACAGCTGAAAATGTAGCGCAATGGGTCAACAGAAACTCATCTGCAAGAACAGCAGCTTTAAACAATGAATCCACCTTTTGCTCATTGAGGTACATAACAACATTTTTTGGAAGACACGTTTTGAATTCTTCCAACAGAACCAATTGTCTTAGCTAAGTAAAATCCTTCACTTTACTTGCACCTAACTACTTATCAAACTTAATCTACATGTGTTTGGTTGGCAGATTTTTCGCAGGACCGAAACATTTGGTAACATGTCTCATGAACTAACTCAGAAAACACTAAAATAGTGGATTTCACAATTTCATAATCCCGACTGTGATCAATGGATAAGCTCGTGCACACTTCTTGTGCTTTCCCCACCAATTTGCACTGCAACAACAAACTCCACACGTCCTTGGGCCATTTTAAAGTGGTTGCGATGCGTTCAAAGGCATTAAAGTAAGAGTCAACCTTACTTTCTCTGAAAGGTGGCACTAAGGCAATTTGCTTTCTTGCATCAAACTGGTCAGAGGAGAATCAGTCAGAAGTTTTACTCACAATTTTACTCAATGGGGTAGAGGTAACATTGCTTCATAGGCCTTATTCGGAGATGCAGTAGCTCAACTTCTTTGGCTTTAGCCTAAAGCTCCACCTCTTTCAGGCAAAGGGCAAGCTTAAGATCATCCGTAATCAATTCTGGTAATTGTCTGGCCAGGATAATGTTTGGGACTTGAACGGCAGCAGGAGCCTCCATCCACCACCAAACCTCCAGACGCATCAACCGGTCGAAGTTTCACCTTCGCAATTACCCCTTTTTCCACCATTTGCTCTGCCAGACACTGCTTAATTTCTGCCTTTTTTGGATTCAAGAGGACACCAACATTAAACAAATTTGCCACCAACAACAAATCTGCCTTGGTGCATCGATCCAACTTAGCCATGGTGGGTTGATGTGCAAAATAACACACATCAAAGTAATTACAGCTAGTTTACCCATTACACCACAAGAAAGCTGCCAACCAAAAGCTGAAGGAAACCTACAAAACACAATGAGCAAAAAAAAATGGCAAACGAAAAGAGCGTACAAGCCCCCTAGGTCTGCCACGATTTGTCGACTAGTCACGATTACGTCGACTATCAAAATCGTCGACGACTGATTTAATAGTTGACGCGTCGTTTGAAGCTTTGTACGATCGCAAAAGACGCAATGGCAAACGAAAAGAGCGTACAAGCCCCCACTTTATTTTCCGCCCCAGTCTAAGGATACGCTTGAAGTCCACTGTGGATGAACTGGTATCTTTTTAAGCCTCCAGCCTGGGTAAAAGACTTTACAAACAACTCACCTATGTACACTTTTACTCCACTGTGGATGAGTTGGTGTTTTTTCAAGTCTGCCGGATCGTTAAAAGACTTTCCACACAAGTCGCAGCTGTACGGTTTAAATCCAGAGTGAGTAACTTGGTGACGTTGTAAGGTGCTACTCCGAGCAAAAGCTTTACCGCATTGACCACAGCTGTACGCCTTGATTCCCAAGTGGATGAGTTGATGACGCTGTAAGTTACCACTGCAAGTAAAAGCTTTACCACACAACTCACAACTGTATGGTTTAACTCCACTGTGGATGACTTGGTGTGTTTTTAAGCTTGCAGTGGGTAAAAGACTTTCCACATAACTCACAGCTGTATGGTTTAACTCCACCGTGGATGACTTGGTGTGTTTTTAAGCTTCAGTGGGTATAAGACTTTCCACACAACTCACAGCTGTATGGTTTAACTCCACTGTGGATGAGCTGGTGTGATTTTAGGTGTCCTTTCTGGGTAAAACGTTTTCCACACAAGTCACATCTGTATGGTTTATCTCCACTGTGGACGAGTTGGTGTGCTTTAAAGTTTCCAAGATGGGTAAAATTCTTCCCACACTCATCACAGCTGTATTTTTTCTCTCCCTTTCTTCTGTGAGGTTTGTCGGCCTCCTGAGAGCGCTGACTTCTCGCTCCGTGTTGGTCCTGCAGTGACAGAGATACAAACAGAGGCAGTGAGTGAAATGCAGTCGTGGACTAAACTGAAACTGCCTCCATTAGTGGGATCCAAGATGTCAACAAACACATTGTAGGTGTATGTTGGTGTGTTTTTAAGCTTGTCCAATCTGGACAGAATCGACTTTTTGGAGACATTGTAGGTGTGCTGTGCCCCAGTCTAGGGATACAGGACCATAACATAAGGGTAAGAAAGGAAGTGACCCCGCCCAGGTCCCCCAAATCATACCCAGAAGCCAATCTTTGAAGTGAAGGGTGGTTTATTTGTGTCTACACTGAAATGTTAAGTCCGGGGTGAACACAGGCCAAAATAACAAAGAAAACAAGCTAAGTCGGGAAAGGAGGTGCTACCTAAAACCCTATGTGAAACAAAAACCAAACAAAAGGCACACGCTAGACTCCCTAACTGAAATGAACAGGAGAAAACAGCACAAGAAAATAGTAAGGCAGCTGTTTCAGTGTCTATTTACAAGTGAACTAATTTACACACTATATACAAAAACTCAGTAAATCTCAGGAGCCACACACGGGTAACACAAGGTTTGGAAGCCAGGGTCAGATCTGCTGCTGTCAGACGCTGCCGCCGACAACTGCTGGTGTAGCATCTTTTTAAAACAGCCACATAATCAGGGGACCAATCAGCTGCCGCCAGCTCTCCAATCAGAAAGGACCTGTAGATTCTTAAAAACTTAAGCTGTCACCTGTCTGTCTGTCCTGCACTCTCTCTCTGTTTCTTTCTCTCTGATTGTGGAATAAAAGTATGAACATGTGTTTATAAGTTACACTTGTGTTTGAATCCTGCAGCTTATCACACATTTGATTTCCATGTGTGACAACTGCAAGTGTCCAGAGTGAGGACAGACTGGATGTTGGTGTGTTTTTAAGCTTGTCCAATCTGGACAGAATCGACTTTTTGGAGACATTGTAGGTGTGCTGTGCCCCAGTCTAGGGATACAGGACCATAACATAAGGGTAAGAAAGGAAGTGACCCCGCCCAGGTCCCCCAAATCATACCCAGAAGCCAATCTTTGAAGTGAAGGGTGGTTTATTTGTGTCTACACTGAAATGTTAAGTCCGGGGTGAACACAGGCCAAAATAACAAAGAAAACAAGCTAAGTCGGGAAAGGAGGTGCTACCTAAAACCCTATGTGAAACAAAAACCAAACAAAAGGCACACGCTAGACTCCCTAACTGAAATGAACAGGAGAAAACAGCACAAGAAAATAGTAAGGCAGCTGTTTCAGTGTCTATTTACAAGTGAACTAATTTACACACTATATACAAAAACTCAGTAAATCTCAGGAGCCACACACGGGTAACACAAGGTTTGGAAGCCGGGGGTCAGATCTGCTGCTGTCAGACGCTGCCGCCGACAACTGCTGGTGTAGCATCTTTTTAAAACAGCCACATAATCAGGGGACCAATCAGCTGCCGCCAGCTCTCCAATCAGAAAGGACCTGTAGATTCTTAAAAACTTAAGCTGTCACCTGTCTGTCTGTCCTGCACTCTCTCTCTGTTTCTTTCTCTCTGATTGTGGAATAAAAGTATGAACAT